GATTGATTAAGTTAAAAACGAATGTGATTTGTTTATTGAGAGATGTAGATTGATAAAAACGGTTTGAATGCTGCTAAAAATTCAGTCTATTATATTTGCATTTTTAATGAGACTGCATAAGTTAAAAACTGTTTAAAAGCATAATTCATAAAAATACACTAAGAAAGGAAAAACAATATTCACAAGTGGTAAAAAATATATGTAAAGCATGTATTTTTGCATTTATTATTTAATGTGCATTGTATTTACAGTAATTATTTTTATTTTTCATTTAAGGTTTTTTCACCTTACAACCTTGCTACATATGCTGTACTGCAAAAAATAAAGTAAAGAAGAACTCAAAAGAAAACAAAGTTGTGGTCATTGTATGAGTGAAACCCAGTGAAAACCTCCTATGGACTGTACCATCCCTTTCAAGCTGGGAAACTGCAAAATACCCAAGGGCTTGACACTTATAACATGTTGTACACAGTGGAAATAAACATTCTGGTCACCTCAACATCAGGGATCTTATACATTAAACTCCTTCTGAATCAAACCGTCACAGTAGCCTTACCTTACTGATCCCTCTTAAATTAGAAAAAAACACGTTACTTTACCAGCAGAGAGAAAATGGATTATTAAATATGTGACTAATAAAGAGCAGTTTAATTATTAAGTATTATTCTGTTGATGGATGTCATTACATTTGTTGAAAAGCACATAATGACTTGTTTAAGACACGTTTTGTCAAAGTTTAGGACTTGGACTTGAACTTGCCCATCCTGACTTGAGACTTGACTCGGACTTGAGCGCAAAGACTTGAGACTTGACTCGGACTTCCAAAACAATGACTTGGTCCCACCTCTGGTAAATAGTGCTGGGTCTTGTTGACTTGGCCTACGGTTAGATTTGTAATTAGAAAACAATGGTAGAGAGAGGTCCCATGGGAACTTGACTGAAGTGTGCAACCATGTCAGAAAAGTTTATAATGGGAAAGAGGCTTTACAGAACTAATACAGTAACCCACTTTTTTAAAACTATGGTGCCAGTTTATGATAATTGATGGGGATTAAATGAGGCATCTGTCTTCCAAATGAGCTTTAATCCAATATAAATGTTGATTGACCTGCAGGTAGACCAAGGCCAAGTTAATAAATGGTCAAACTGCTGTCTATATCCAGCTTTATTGCTCTTGTTTGTTAACTCATACACTGGTGTTTCATTGTGTCTACATTATTCACTGTACTGTACCACAAATTGGACCCTCCGGGGACATTAAAGGTTTCTTATGTATTTGTTTAACATCTGTCTTTGTTTCTCTGCGTCTCAGTGAGTCCCACTAAAGAGATTAAGGTGACGGTGGGAGTCCGGCGGAGCAGCATGAGCAGCAGCTGTGGCAGCAGCGGGTATTACAGCAGCAGTCCCACGCTCAGCAGCAGTCCACCTGTGCTTTGCAACCCCAAATCTGGTGAGATAACACACACAACACAAAACACACACATACACAAATGACCTCATGTAAACTGAGGAAGAAATTGGAATATTGCTGTATGCTAATCGTGCAAATAACTTTGTTTTTTGCTTTGTGTGTCTTTACTGCTGTTGGTTTTTCTTTGATGTGTCAAGGAGTCCTTGACAGAGTCTCTTTGTAGCACCAGAGCTCTCTTAACATGAACACTCGCATGCAATACAAGAAAAGGAAGGCACACAAGCACGTACAAAATCCTCCTCTGTCCCAAATTAACCGTATCATATCAAAAAAATCTAAAGCATTCAAGGAGACATTAAAACAAGTCTGGTATGCTTTCCTGAGGACACGGATAAATAGAAATATGTCAGCAGCCGATGAGGCATTAAAGAGGAGCTGTCCTCTAGATGTGATGAGATCAGGATATACAGAGAGATTATGGAAATAACCAGATCAAGACGATAAAAGGGTCTCACTCACTTCACTTCTTCTGTCTCATCAGATTAAAGTGAAGTGACACACAGTAAACCACAAGTGCTTTGTCAGGAGCAAACATACTGAGCAGCACACACAGGCTTTTTGAAGGACGTTCTCCCAGATAGAGAAATACAAAGAGACAATATCTAATACATTAAGTATGTATATATTTTTTTCCTCATTTGTCATTTCCTTTTCATATCATCCCAACTGCTATATTAAACCATATGCTTTGTTGTGAAGTATGTCAGATGTGTGTACTCACCCACATTTGTCTTCAATATGAGCAATGCATGGTACAGTTGATGGGTCTTTATGGATTATTGGCTCCTTGTAGCTGATCACTCAGTTATATCTTCCCAGTTTTCTGTTACGTCAAGTTGTACTAAGGGAGTAAAATCATTTTCCGAGACACAAAAGTCCACTTTAGTCCTGCGTAGAGTCCTGCGTAGAGTCATGTGGTGAGTAATGTTAAGGGGAAATTGGAGTAGGGGAAAGAGAGCTATACTGTTTCAGGAAGCAGTGAGCCTCCAGACACGTGACATTATTAGCACTTTCTACACACTTTCTAACTAACAATATGTGCGTGTTGGTGTGTTGTGCGTGCGTGTGTGGGTGTTTTTGTTCGATTTTCATGGTATCAAGTAACATCTTATGTGTGTGTGTTTCTCCCAACAGTTCTGAAAAGACAAGTGAGCCCAGAGGAGCTGCAGACACTAGGAGGATCTTTTATAAAGAAGACATTCACTGTAAGACACACACACACACACACACACACACACACACACACACACACACACACACACACACACACACACACACACACACACACACACACACACACACACACACCCCAATAGTCACACAAATGTGGGAATGTGTGACAAACAATTATAGATAATACCGCAGTGTACTAAAGTCATGTGCATATTCAGGAAGCTTCATCACGTGTCTCAGATAATAATTTGAATGAAAACAAATGTGAATACTACAAGATGCGTAATTTTATGTTTGTACCATTATTTAAAGACATGTTGCACAGTGTGGATGGTTTGATCTTTTTTTGGAAGCAGTACATTATGTAGAGATTCACCACAAACATCATCTCACTTGCTACAACCACATCAGCAAATGTTTTTTGGTTCTATACAAACAGTGGGCGCTAAAAACGTTGAGATTTATCTACATTTCATGTTTCTCGTTGTTCTTCAGATTGTGGGTGATGCTGTGGGCTGGGGCTTCGTGGTGCGAGGCAGCAAACCCTGCCACATCCAGGCTGTGGATCCCGGTGGACCTGCAGCTGCTGCTGGCATGAAGGTAAGGACGGAGAGATGAACGGAGACTTAAAGGTCCCATGTCATGGCCATTTCCACTGATCATAATTCCATTGTTGAGGTCTACTAGAATAGATTTATATT